TTTTAAGAAATTGCTAAACATTTTCGTCTAGTACTGTACAGTTCTAGCCGATCTCCTAAGACCGCCCATCGAGAGCTCTGCTCGTTCAAGCTTATTCCAACTATTTCTGTCTTGCTCACGCCTAGTGTGTATTCTTTCTATCTTCGCGCAGATTTCTTCAAGGTTACAATCCTAACAAATTGAAATATGGACTGTACCTTATGATGATGAGTATTTCCGATTATAGTTTATTCTATAATCTATTCCAGATCTACCTCTCCCCCTCTTATCTCCTTCTGCTTGTATTATGTCTCTAACTAGCCTTTCATGCTTGAGAAGATATCTATCTTACTAACCTATCTCGCTTATTTCTTATTGACTTCCAAAGCGCCCTCTGTTCTCCTAGTTTTTCTACTACCTCCTCATTTCTAACCCCCTCTATCCACGGTATCCTCATAATTAGCCTGTAACACCACTTTTCAAACGCTTCTGTAGTTGACACGTTCAAAATTGGCATAGTCCGCATTTACGTTCTTCTTTCAACTTACTAACTAGAGCTGTTGCTGATGGAACGCCTACTTTTTCTCACGACAGACGTTGTAATAAATATAGAAAAGAGATGTCAGGTAGGAATTGCAGCGGACACGAATAAAGAAAAACTAATAACATTGCATCAATTAATGTGTAACAGAAGGAGACGCAACAAGAAGAATTTGAGTAGGGTACCAGCATCGGACTTTAAAGGAAGTTGAACATTCTCATGAATTTAGGAAAGCAAAGATATAATTCCAACCAGGCAGTTATAAAGCCGACCCTGATCTTTCGAAGTTCGATCCGAAATTTTCGAGAGGGAATTATGGAAGTTTACACTCCCTTTAAAAAGAACTCATGCTGAAATTGAGTGAAACATACTTTAAATAATATTTGATGTAATTTCCGTTTTACGAAAAACCAGATGCGGTGTCGCCTTTAAACTCGTTTAAATATCAGATCCATTTTAAATTACATAAGCGTATGTTCAGTTAACATCAGAGACATTTCTTCAGCTCCGTAAAATTTTGTAAGCTCATTTAACAAGTAACTTACGAGCAGGCCAGGTCTCGGCTTAGCGCTGTCATTAACTAATTTAGTGTGCATTGGTGCAGTTTAATTATCCTCGTAAATTTCCGTCAAACGTTAAAATTTGACCAAGGGGTCACTAGACCTTTTACTAGTTTAAATTTAGTCGTTCGGTTTTTGCAGAATTTTATAGCCGAAATATATAGGGAATCGGCGGTTATGACGCAGTTTGCTAGCTATTTATGTTCGAAAAGCAAAAAAAAGGAAAACACTAAAATGACCTGAATTTAAACTTCTTTTTAAGAAGAAAAATTCACAGTTATCTCATGTATGCGTAACTCATTCATGTAAATGCATATCATTGTTATTATTGTCACACAGCATGTGCCGCTTTTCCTACTCTGCTGCCAATATCAAAGTGTAAAATTATCTTTTTATTACTCTTTCCATTCTCAGATCCCTTAGCCCTAACTTCTTCAAATGCTTTTATCAACGATTATTGCACGCTTTCTTTCCTGTGTTTATTCAATATCTTCTAGAAGCCGATAGTACCATCATTTTATTTCAACACTATGATACTTTAGTATCTGCTTTCTACAATCTCACCTTCTTCTTGTGAGTGTTCTCATCACATTCATCAAATCTCTATTTACAGAAAGCAATTTTTAACTCAATCTTCTTTATCTAACGCTCCTTATTCAATTATTTTGTACTACCTCCGTTTAGAATTGTGGAATTGATGAAAAATAGGCCGGAAGAACTATTAGGGGAAGATCAATTTGGGTTTAGAAGAAATAGAGGAACGCGGGAGGCCATTCTAGCTTTACGGGTAACAATAGAGAAAATGATAGAAAAAGAGAAAAAGTGGGTACATACGATTTGTAGATTTAGAGAAGGCTTTTGACAATGTTAAATGAATTACAGAGATAGAACAGTGATACTTAGTTCGTATAAAGAGCAACAGGCAGTTATAGAACTGAGGCTGCAACGTAGAGAAGTAAATATTAGGAAGGGAATCAGACAGGGATGCACGTTGTCGACGCTACTTTTTAATCTATACGTCGAAGACGCGATCAACATCGTTAAAGACAGTACAACTGTAGGGATAGATATACAGGGACAAAAGATTGGTATGCTTAGGTTTGGATATGATATAGCAGTATTAGCATCTAGCAAGGGAGACCGAGCGGCATGGCCTAGAGGTTTAGACCATTGCTTAGCATTCGGGAGGACGCCGGTTCGATTACAGGTCCGTCTGCCTTGGTCCTAGTTTTTCTGTGGTTTCCTTGGATCACTTAGGTAAATGCTGGGGCAGTAATATTCCACAGATAATTTTTCATTCTCTTCTGTCTTCATTTCGTCCGTCTCAACTTTCTCATCCGAACCACCACCACCCACCCATTCCCACGATTCCTGAAAACAGGCTGAAGAGGGCCTTCCGCCCTACCTTCCGACGTAGTCCGGAGGGACTGCCCGCCCACCAGCATTACTGGCTGGTGGGAATGAAACACCAAAAATAAAAAAATCTAGCAAGGAGGAGTTAGAGATAGCTTTAAATAAAATGGAAGAGGTATTGACAAAACAGCACTGTATAAAAATAAATAAAAGTAAAACAAAACGGAAGAAAAAGTAGGGAAAGAGAGAATATAAAGGTAGGAGACGAAAAATTCGAAGAAGTGGCTGATTTTAGGTATCTAGGAAGTCAGTCAAGTCAGAACGAATGGAGTAGGGATATAATATAGAAGTGTTCGAAATGTAGTGTTACAGGGGAATAATGAGGATACCGTGGATAGATAAGGTTAGTAATGAAGAGGTATTAGAAAGGATAGAAGAACAGAGGACTCTATGGAAGTCAATAAGAAATTAGCGAGATAGGTTAGTAGGACACCTTCTGAGGCATGAAAGTCTAGTCAGAGACATATTAGAGGCAAAAACGGGAGTTAGAAGGGGTAGAGGTAGACCTAGATTAGATTACTGTTCGCAAATAGTTAAGGATTTGGGATGTTCTAGTTTTAGGGAAATGTAAAAATTAGGTGAGGATAGGAAAGAGTGGAGATGCGTATCCAACCATTCTTAGAACTGACAACTTTATGATGATGAAAACGTTGCAAATTGATAACACCACAACACTTACAGTTATTTTTTACCGACAACTATAGACTAATGTCTACTGTTGACAGTAAAAAGCCCAAAGCTCTAGAACTTTAACGAAAAAATCATTAAATTCGTATTTCCAAAATGTAGAATGAGCGTTACGCATTTTCCTGAATTTAACGATTACCCCAACAGCAACGGAAAAAATTCTTTTTCAACGATAATAACGTGAATTATGAATTAGTGAAGGATCATGATAAGACAGTAACGTCTAAATGGTTTCAGTTTAATGAACATAAGAAATGATTAACTTAGACATACTGATTTGATTATTGTTATGTCTTTTGATCACGAAATGTTTTTTTGCAAATGTGGTACAATAATTTTTTTGTACAACTTTTTCTTTTAGTTTGTTGTTTTATTATTTACCTAGTTTGAGAAGTATTACTGCACTTTGCACAATTTTTCAAATTTGGTCAAGAAATTTGTTTTCACCTTGATATTTGCCTACTGATCTTTGAATCTGCAAACATAGCAAATTTTCAATTTTGCGAAAAGGTCTGTCGTGTACACAGTTATTTCTGCTCTTGACCTTGTTGGCTGAAATCGCCCTTGTACACAACTGCGAAATAAATTTCCGAATTATTGGCACAGAATCACCAACTTGTTGTAAATTTATCTTCTCTGTTGATTTTTATTGAACCGATTCAGCATTTTCGTATGTACCATACTCAATTTGATTTAATAAAATTTTCCAAGCAAATTTACACGTTTCAAAAAGGTATCGTCTGTTATTTTTTATATATACTTACTTTACGCGAATGTTTTTAGCTGACTCTTCAAGTAATACAATTTTATAAACTTACGTTGGTACATTTTTAGTCTCAAAATGTTTTCCTTGTCAATCATTACAATTATCGACTTGTAGTGAAATATTTAATATGGCGGACGCCAGCCATTGATTTCAAAAATACATAATGGCTATGACAGCGCATGTAGGTAAATTTAAATAACTTTTTGATGAACTCTTGTGTTGTTTGATATTTAGCACTTTTTACATAGATAGAACTGAAATGAAAATGGCATACAAATACCTATTGTTTTTGCAAAAATCCACGTCCCAATGATTTCCATTTATGAAGTGATATCGCGGATTTTAGTACCCAAAGACTATATGTGTCAAATTATAAAAGATATTGACACATTAAATATAATACTCAAATATATAACTCATTAGACGCAACCTATCTTCAGGTTACGAAACGAGAATGAAATTCGTCAAAAAAAGTAATATTTAATTAGGGTACGAAACGGCTTTTAATTCCAATATACTTTTCTTTACATACAGAAAAAGCAAATAAAACATCAAAACTTATTAAATCTAGTTTACAATCTCAGATCTTTTAATTCATCTGGTCGAAAAACACCTCTCTCGGTTATAATTCCAGTGATAAGGGATGCAGGAGTGACATCAAAAGCAGGATTCCAACACGGAATACCTATTGATAAAAAACAATAAAAGAAAAAAAATTAGTGGTATGACTAAAATTGTCTCATGTGATTTACCATTGTCATTCCAAAAAAACAAGTGGATTATTCTAATCACACAAAGTTTTAATTAAACTAAGCTGAGAGACATGCGGGGACATTATTAGGCACCTAATACAATTTTTAAATATTTGTGCTCTCTTTACTACTCACCTTCTGCAGCTATTCTTAATCCTTGAAAATGTGTTGTTTCCTTATCCGGCCTTTCCTCAATAACAATTTCGTGCCCGCTTTTAATGTTCATATCAATTGAGGTAAAAGGGGCGGCAACAAAAAATGGTACATTATGATATTTTGCAACAACCGCAATTGTGTATGTGCCTATTTTGTTTGCAGTATCTCCGTTTGCAACAACCTGTAAAATAAAGTTCAAAATTCAAATATCTATTAGGACTATATTGACTGATCGACACCCCCATTTTTATTTCAGTAGTTTTCACTATTTCCGAAAAATTTGCACCTTTTATAATGTTCTTTTTAAACTTACCCTGTCTGCGCCTACTACTACCCCAGAAATTTTCTTTTCTTTCATCAGAGCTGAAACAGCACTATCAACAATAAGAGTTGAAGGTATTTTTTCGTAAACCAGTTCATAAGCCGTTAAGCGAGCACCCTGTAAATAAGGTCTCGTCTCTGTGCAGTACGCATGCTCTAGAAGAAGCAAAAGATTGACTAATTTCTTCGCACAACCTCTTGAAATCCGTCTACTTCAAAATGTATAATTTAAATAAAAACTATTTACCTAAACGTCCTTGGGCGTGTAAAGACCTAATGACCCCTAGTGCAGTACCATAGCTGTAGGTAGCTAGTGATCCTGTATTGCAGTGAGTTAACATAGTTACTTTTGAATTTTTTGGATACAAATCTAAAACGGCTTTGGCACCGTGATCACCAATGCTTTTATTATCATTTAGATCTTTTTCTGGCATACTTTCTATCGCCGCAATAAATCTACAAGTATCTGTTTTCATATCTATTGATAAAAAATTTATACGGTATGCAAATACACCTTTTTCTCATTTCTTCAACTGAAATTGATTCATTTTTTGAAAGATTTCCGGCCAAATTAGTCAGTTCATCTGCCGCTATTTTTATGTTTACCGCAGTTGGCCTAGCACTGACCAGATATTTCAATTTATCCCCAATTATATCTCGCAGTTCATCTTTATTTGAAAATTGTTGTTTATTTAACTCAACTACTAAACTAAGACATCCCACTATTGCTATAGCAGGTGCTCCTCTGACCTATGATACCAAGATACCAATTAAATGATAAACAAAAAATCATAACGTCCTGTCCTGTACAAAAACCTTATTACAGCCCTGTGCATTTTACAAATTAGTTTATTAATGTTGGCACAGATGTCAGCAGTGATCATTTTTTTATTGTCAAAATTGACAACTTATCTATTGATATCTATGATTGACATGTAAACAAGACATTAGCGTTAAGGTTATATATTTTAATAAAACAAATAAATTATTAATAAATACTTGTAATTGCTAAATATTCTCAAATATGCAACTAGAAAATATACTTGTAAAAGCCTCCCACGATGAAATTCGACCCCATTAATTTTCTAATAGAAAGATTTTACTAAATACATACCTATAGGTGTTTAGTTTTGTAGAAAAATAACTTAATGTCCCACATAATAATTTTTTATATTTCTTACTTGCATGTTTCGTATAGCATTCCATCCATCTTCAACCCCATTTATTTTTATATATTTGGATTGCCCTGGAAGAAGTAATTGATCAAGAATTTCCAGTTGATTATTTTTATATCTAATTGGTTCCAAAGTCATTATAACTGTTACTGCTTTTCTTAATTTTAATTAGAGGTCCCAAAAAAGTACAGCACGCCTTTTATTTATTGTGCAATGTTAATTGTGCTTAACTGATATGATTAAATGACCACAACTTGCAAACAAAATTTGAAAGATAAAAAGTTATCTT